ACCCCTACTTTTGTGGTAGGGTAGATGTAGATAATTTTGAAAACCAGTTGGATTTGTTCCAGTTTGCATGCCATAATTATCAACAAATAAGGTGGACACTACCCATATATTGTTCATACGCTCATATGCTCATACCTACAATGAATACTATATTCCTACGCTCATATATACGTTACTCAAACGCTTATTTACGGGACTCAAATCATCATATACTCAAGTCAGTGCTCATTATACATTACTCATCCGTTGTGCTTACGTTACATACCCCTCATATACCGGGTACAATGGCATGCCCTGACATACGACCATACTTTAAATGCTACCCATTGGATATTCAAACACAAGTTATACAACGTAAACACGCTATTAATAGGCTATTTGTACATCTTATACAATTCTTTTCATACGTTTGGAACAAACGATAGACGCTCAAAGTAGTGCGTATAATCGAATTTATACACGATATTCGTACGTACCTCTATCACGATTGGTGAGACAGAGGTTAAACAGGGATGTCGCTTTGCTCTGAAAAAAAAAAAAAAAATATATATATATATATATATATATATATATATATATATATATATATATATATATATATATATATATATATAAACAGTAGACATATATTTACAACTTTATAACAATATTTTAAGAACACGGATGGCAAACAACGTTTAATCAAAATTTGGTTATTTATTATTATTATTATTATTATTATTATTATTATTATTATTATTATTATTTTGGAGGACCTTCACTTTCAAAAGGGCACAGAACACTTGTAACTGTGTACACACTTGACATTTAATATGGAATATTTTTTTTCCAAATCATTTTTCATCAGTTCTTCCTATTTTGCTGGCTGATAAATGAAAATAAGGATTACAATCGTGTTTTAACAACTTTTAATTATCTATTTGATGTCATTGTGACATCAGTTCATTAATGGAATTCGCCAGTGAAGCAAACAAAAAACACATTGCCTATTCTATGCCATACGACAACCATTAAAAGAGGTATTTTGGACCTCCATGTTTCCCAAATTATTGTCTGTAAAAGAGTTACACGCTCCACAAAGGCCCCTCATGTCAGTGTCTAGTCACAGTAACGGTCGCTGTTACGTCTGACCTCTTGTGGCTGCTACCAGCGCTTTCAAGAGGCAAGGCATTCCTTGGGATAGGTTTTTGAAGTTCAATCTGGAGTAACATTCCAGACATCGGTCAAAATCTGTCCAATTTGATCCAGTTTTGTTGTAGGACATGTAGGCCATTGATTCGGCGAGTAATGGCCTACCCACATATTGTCTATCTGGTTCAAATATGGCGATTTTGATGACCAAGGTAGCTTCCCATTCACTTGCTTCTGTAAGTAATCTGCTATTAAAAGTGCTCTGTGTGAACCGACAACCTTATCGTACAACCTAAAATTGTCCCTAAGTTGCCCCCTATCAAATTATAGCCGAGTGGTTCACAGGTTATTTCTTTATTTGATCTGGTTCAGGTTTTCGTCGGTGACTACCATTGGTGTTTTGGCACCAATGTGGTACCCATTCCAAATACTGACGCTGTTAATGACCTTAATCACTTTAGATGCGGCAAACGCTTCATCGTTGGCCTCTTCTGGATGTCTGTAAACTCTGTTTTGACTGTTGAGCGGAGCAGGTAAAATATATATAATTAGACTAATCATCTTACAAGCTATGAAGTAACGAGTCAGCAGAAGTTTTGAGCGAAACATGGAAAGGGAAAGGTGTCGTGTCTCTGTTATTGCAATTGTATTTCGATGTCTACATGTGTTTCAATTCAAAAAAGAATTTGATAAATAAGCTTCTGTGTAAGACATGAATTGCAATCAAGTCTGACACGTTTACATTTCTAGCTGACGATGGCCAGCTTCGACTGATGGACGGTAACGGCTACAACAGCGGCCGTGTGGAGATCAAGTTTGCCGGAATATGGAGGCGCATTTGTGACTATGGATGGGGAAGCAACGACGCCGCAGTTGTCTGCCGACAGTTGGGATATAGCGGATATGTTAGAGCCGTGACAGGTAGAGCAGCAGATCTTTCGTTTTTATAATTAAAGATGTACAACTTAAGGGATTTTTGAGCCTAATATAAGTTGAATATGCTAACTAGTAAAGCCGGGCTTTGCATTTGAATTCCATGTTTTGTGCCGTTTCTAATTTTAAAAATAACTCTGAAGCTTTGAAAAAAGGACTCAGAGTTTATTAAGACCTTGCCTTATGATATATGAGAAGGATACAATCGACATTAGAGGGGTCCCATCGTGCTGAATTGCAAAATATTTGTAGCTTTGCAGAATATTTAGAAAAAAGAATATGACCAGGCTAGTAATTTTGAATTTGATGAAGGGACGTGTACGAACTTTTGGGATTTTGCCTCCATGTACGTACTTTTATAGCATTTTTTTTTATATATTACTGCGGTAAGGGTGACACTTTTGTTTATTGCTCAATTCGACAATTCAGATTGGACCCACAAGAGCAGTGGTCCTTTTTGGCTGCAGAATGTTAGTTGTCTAGGAGCAGAAGTTAACATCACAGATTGTCCACATGACGGAATAGGGTATTCCACATATCAATGTGATTTACACAGTTATGATGACGCTGGTGTCTATTGTCAGGGATACTTACGTAAGTATATAAATAAATAAAGAATATATAAATGCTTATTTGTCGGTCGGCTGGTGTGAAACGAATGCGTGTCCCCCAGGAAAACTACCCAATTAAATCACTGTATATTGTATAATGTAGCAGTGCAACATAAATGGTAGTCAATTAACCAGTAGCATCACACCTGATTACGCAATTGTCCATTTACATTTCTTATCTGAGATCGGATTTTTCTTTTTATGACTGCATTTTAACCTAAACTGAAACTGAGATATTCGAAATATTTCGTTAAAACTGTCTAGTCTGTAGTGTTATTGAACGGAAGTAAATACTTCGTAAAAATGAACGCTGTAAAGATGCCTGGTGAAAAAGTGCGATATCTGAAAGTGTATATCAAAACTAATCATTGCCAATTACAATCCATTTTCTACCAGCGGGTGTCACTTTCCCAAATACAGCCACCACCACATCGAACACAACGACCACACCGACCAATACGACACCAACCACAACGACCACACGGACCACACCGACCACACCGAGCACACCGAACATACCGACCACAACGACCACACCGACCACAACAACCACCGTTGCAGTAAGTCATACTAGAACAAATACATAACAAGTTGATCTACAGACTGACATATTCTTGGACTAAATATGACCGACCCACATTAACATCGGCTCCGCTAATGCACTAGCTGTTGGTGTCCCTGTCTCCACAAGAGTTTTTATACATCGGAGTCGAAATTTAACCCTTTTACTGGCCTGTATGAGGGTGGGGAGATCCTCAGGGAATAAAGTGACATACTTTTAAGCAGGGTCGGTCAGTTAGTCTGTAGATCATATGTTATGAATGCGGTCTTAATTGATTTCACCGTTGTATTTTTGATTCAGCCATGTTTTATGTGCTATTCGGAGGACTCGTATTCGACATTTCAACATATTTACTTCGTGAGACAGATAACAACCGCACTGTATATACAAACACTACTCCATTCATATGTACGGAGGGGCTTTCAATAAAACAGTATCATTTGTGTTATCAAACCATTTTTCAATCCAAAATATGTTATTTTGTTAATAGCTTGCAGTCAGACCTCATCAGGGCATGGACTTTAATAGACATTATCGCCTTTGTTTTGACTGGCGAAACACATATTCATATCTTTTATATAATTTTTGACAAAATAAATGTATTGATTTTTAAACTTTTAGTGGGCACTTAAATATGTGATATTTCATTTCAGAGAGGACCTACATGCTATTCGTGCTCCGGCATCCAGTGTTCCAAATCACAGAGCATTTTGCTTTCCTATTCTTTGACATGTTCTTATGGATATGTGTGCTACGTGAGTCTCTCTCCCCCTCTCTCCCTCTCTCCCTCTCTCTCTCTCTCTCTCGTTTGCACATACACACACATACATACACACATGCACGTTATGAGTACAGCATATGTACAGCATTTGTGCATGCGCAGACAAAAGCATAAATGATGTAATTTTTTTTGTATGTTGGATAAATGTCATTGTGATATGGACAAACGTATTTATTTGCAGACCTCGGCCTCGGCCTACGAAAGTTACAGTCTGTTCTACAGTTCTTCCACCATTGCCTACAGCTACAGCCGCGGGTGCAGGCGTCTGTCATCTTGTACCAGTCAGGAACTCCAGGGGAATACATGCACGGGAACTAGGACCAGTAAAGTATGTAGGCAGTGCTGCACTACTAACTACTGTAACAATGGTACACTGGATACGTCCCAAAGCAGCACCAACAACACAGGATCCGGTCCCAGGAGTGCTTGGTTTGACGTCCTCTACGCGTTTTTGTTCTTTATCTTTGCTTGGAATTAAAGCCACAGTGTGCCCGCTTTACACCCTACTGTGACAGCAAACTCAAACAGTTTTAACTGTGGTACAGATTTATTGTGGAATATTATATTCAAAACTATTGACAGAATTACAATATTAAAAGTCGAAGTTGGGTGTATATGTGCTGTAAAGGTAAAGGGATAATAACTCTTCGTGTTAGATCTATATTTCACAATAAAAACATTGTGAGTACACACATCTGAGGTCCAAATGTTTTGCTCGCAATTTCGATTGTTATTATTGTGACATTTAGAAAAAGTTTGTCATGCTGCGCGTGTGAGCAAGTGACTAAGAAAAGGAACATAGACATTTCGTCATTTTAATTCAAGACAGGATTGATGGTACCGTTATTGCCGCATCTCAGGCTAATTACTCACAGAGAACATTTCGACACTAGAAATATGAGTATAGCTACGATATATTATATAAAATGTAATCATATTTCCATTGTTATGTATTTAATATTAGAATTTAACATTTTTTAATCACTTCAAATGAATTATAATCTGTTCTTTTTTATTCATGAAACATATTTATATCAAGTATTTTTTTTACTTCACTAAGATAATATGACGAGTTTATGATTAAATGATTTGCAAATTTTATGTTATTCGGTATTTGCTTTGCTTTGAAAAAATCAAAAAGGAGTGTATATTGTAAAGTTTTAGAATTCGATGACAAATTCTTTTGAAGAAAGGGTGTATGTTGAAAAGTTGATGACTTACGCTTACACTAATTACAATTAGTAATAAAAGGGAAATCAAATAGATAAAAAGTTAGAGTGGTATTGAGTGTAAATTAAGTTTTATCAAGAGATAACAAGTGTAGAACATGTTTTTAGTGGGAAAAAAAAGAAGGAAAAGGTCAAAGTCGGTAACAGTTTGTGTGATTAAGTGAAAAAAATGGGGAAGATGTCTCGTTGTTTTGCCTTCAGTAGACTAAGATATATATATATATCCGTTTTTGTTACATAGCATGGGTTAATGAGTGTTGCCATGTAGTTACATAAAACGATTTGGAAAAAAAAAACTTACAGTTTAAAATGCTCACTACGGTTTGATAAAATCTTTATTTTTGCATAATATGGTGTGTGCCTAATCTAGAATAGCAGAAAAATTTAAAAATGAGATTTTGTAACTTTATTTGTATTTGCATTTGTGTTATGCTTATATCTATCTGGAATATGTAATAGTGTGATTTGTGTCAAATATATAGGAACGCAAAAGAAAGGTATGTCTCTTCATAATTGTACTGTTTTTGTTAGTTACATGTATATAGATTTNAGTCAAAATATTTTTACTCAAAGTAATTTTGTAATGTTCTTTTTTCATTTAGTGTGGCAAATAAAAAGAGGAATAATTCTGCAAGTGGAAACTGACAAGGACTGTCTAAATACCGGTGTAATGTTGTTCTTAAAATCTGTGCTTCCTTATTTCATGTAATATAAGTATTAGTACCAAATACTTTTTACATTAGATCATTATAAAATACTTGTCTTAAATCCTAGGAGTAGTATAGGTGTGATAAACCCTCAACAGCCTTTTATAATAAGGATCCCTGTGCAGAGCACAATGGGGTCATAGATGACCCCACTTGGTCATTTCAGTCAGTAAAATAGCTTGGTCTCTTGAGGGTTAACCGCGATCAGTATTATCATGTTCTTTCGTTTCCTAGCAACTGCACATTCCCTTGCTGTCTCAGCTTCAGGTATTTTCTTACAAAGATTATTTTTTCCTATACTTAACCTTATCCGTTAGTTGATGAATAGTGAATAAAAGTGAGTGGCGCCTCTTTTGTGTGATCATACGGCATTACATATTATATACAGTACTTTTACCGGTATTATTACCTGGACTTATTTCAAAAAGACTCTGAAGCTATTGGGGTTAGCTTAAAGCCTGATAGAATAAGGCAGCTGAACATGTTAAGTTGGTTTTGTATATTTGGTTTAGAACTTTTAAAAACGACTGCCCCACTATAAAAGCAACAATGTTTAACATACCCAAATGAAATGACAGTTTGCTTAAGGTGCGTAGTTAAAAGATATTAAAAACCTGGTATTTGCTAAGTCTTAGCACGACAGGATTCCTCGCCCGCCAAACATACTAAAGCATTGTGAAATTGACCCCTGCTAACGTCTGGATTTAGAATGTTGCTATATGGGGTGGGTCGGTGAGGGTCGATGATTAAAGAAGCTCTTGCCTATTGTACAATGTCTAGCTGTAGACAGAGAGCAGCTTGCTACTAAAATAAGGTAGCTCTGTGATGCAACTTTCCGCTTTCCTTCATTTTTAAAAACAGAAAATCACTGAGGCTATGGGGATCACGTGACCTACTGGGCCTGCTGCCCCTAATGCTGTCATTGCTGCCAAACCCAAGATAAAACCCAGTCTCAACTAGTGCAGCTCACCCACCCACGGAGATCCTAAAGCACCTCCATACCCTGTGCAATATTTATCCTTTCCTTTTAGAACGATATTTATTTGGCTCTGTACTCGGCTTCATCCTGTTCACTCTTTACACGTCACCAATTGAGAACATTTTTTCTAAGTACGGTTTCAATCTAATGCTCTATGCAGATGACTCACAAATTTATATTGTTTGCGACAGGCCATATGATGTGATGCCATCTATCCAGAAAGGTATTAGTCAGTTAAGTCAATGGTTTAATGCCATTTCACTCGGAAACAGCATGGTCACGGTAAAAGACGGGATTAAAAACCTAGGAGTAATTTTTATAATAGGTGCGGTATGGCCGCCGACATCAGTAAAATGCGGAGCCGCTTTCTATGGTCTTAAAAAAGGGCTTTTCGCGCGTAATGCAGCAGCTTCGTCAGATTCTGGCCTGATCTATGGGAGCAATCAAATTGTGAAGAGCCGAGGTCTAGTTAGGCCGCGACCTAAATATGGCGGACCTACATGAAAGGAAGACCGTTAATTTTTTAATGGCCTCTCCGCCTCTCTCCCCCCCCCCCCCCCTACGCGTTGTACTTCGATCGGTTGAATTGAGCTGATATTTTTAAAATAAATTAAAATTACTGTGCTCCTGCAGGGACGACGCGTGGTGAGGATTAACAGGATTAGCGGTCTTCCTTTCATGTAGGTCCGCCATATTTAGGTGGCGGCCTTACTAGACCTCGGCTCTTCTCGATATGAATGCTCCCTATGTGACTATCAGGGAAAATAACTGGGTCACCAGTTCCATACCTTCAAGTTACCACTCTTGACTGAAGGCTAGCTGAGTGATGATATTAGATTCCACACAAAATGTTTGCTGAACTCAAAAAAGGGGTGTATAGAATAAGCCCGAAGCATACCTGTGAATATCAAGTGAGAAATTAATATGTGACCCTTGCAGGGGTTATACTCAGTGACCTCTTTGTCTACGGTAAACACTAGTTTGTATATGAATGCTGCATCTTAAGGCATTAACCTAGCATCATCTACTGGGTGGTCTGATACATTCTCAGACGGACTGCATTGAAAATTGCCGTTTGTCATAAAACTTAATCGGTGCCACATGTTTAACTTACGACACTGACAGGCAATATGCTACACTTTTTTGTTTAAATGTTATTAAAATGCGACTTTGGGGTAGGCCATTTGTTAAAACTGTCTTCATAAGGTACACCCTTCATCTTCCTGCTTCCCTTTTTTATCGTTTCGGTCTTGCTTATGTTTGAACCAACTGGCAATACCTGGTGGAATGTCGGTGTTAATTCCATTAGAAATGAGATGTTTATTCAACGGGGTGTTAAGAATTATATTTATATTAAAAATAACGCATTTTTCCATTTCGATGAAGGTTTTTTTTTTTCTTTGTGGGACGTTAACAAACAGGCTGCGTTGTTCTTCACCTTGTTTTCGTTGATCCAGTGTGTTCTGTTTATCAAAAGATTTTTTTTATGATAATCAAGATTTACTTGCACCCAATCATTCAGTGTGGCTTGGTGGGAAGATGTCAGATCAATTTCCTAAATGTAAATTAACAAAAAAAAAAAAAAAAAAAAAAAAANTTACAAAACAGATTTACTCTTAACACTACACACAATCTAAAATCAAGCCACTATAACTTCCAAATATACATGACACAGGTAATTGATTTAATTGGCCCAGCTGAGCTGTGTACAAAAGTACATTATACTGTAGCCTTGACACTAATTGACAATAATGCTAACCAGGTATTAAAGAGGTAGATGACAGCAGAAAAAATCCGAAGAGCACCATAACTGATAACAAATAACACCCAAGGCAATGAAGTGAGTCTTCATAATGAAAGTCGAAACCTTGCCTCCACACGTTTTTACAACACACTCTCAACCCAAACTTTTTGGGCACTAGTAACATGCAGTGTACATGCGCTCCAAACTTATACACCTCGGTCTTTGGTTTTCTACTGTTTTTTTTTTTCTTTTATGGTAAAGGCTGCACAGCTGGGTCTTCATTCTTTGCCGTAAAATAAATTAGTTTTATCCTTTACTTGTTCGATGAGTCTTGATTTAAAGCCACTCCTCGTTCTCTCCTACGTTTACGATTTTCGTCCCTACACCTTGGATTGTTACCACTGCAGGCAGTCTGTGAACGCTTGTTAAGTTAGTTATCTTCTCTCTATCATATACCCTGCAGTAATTCATCATTTTACTCGGTTTAATATCAAAGAAAACCCAGAAATAAAATACTAAATTGTACATGTAGACATGATCATGCGCAGCAGACGATTCCGGTCTCCCTCCAGTATGGTAGGTTGCAACGCAATAAACATAATCATAATTAAAGAAAATTAAATATTAATAATTATGCATATAAAAAGGTAAAGAAAGAAATAAATACATTAATAATGTATTAATAAATAAGTCCATGTATTACTAATATATATTTTTACTCTTTATATTATAAACAATAGAATTTCCCATATGACAGGTCGAACACAAGTTATAGGACACTGTTTATATTTATATATATATATATATGAGCTGGAATCCTAAGAATCCCAAGATCACCCCCTCAGCGATTTTTAAAATGAAGATATCAATATCAATATCACAAAAACGAAATAAACTTACAGTGTGCAAGATAAAATTAAATATTTTGACATTTTGTGTGTACCTATATACATACGCTTTAAATATGTAAAAATTAATCTATGAAAACCGAGGATAACAACAGACTGAGCCAAGAGAGAGGCTCCCAAGGGGTATTTTCGTTACCCGTTAAAGCCACTTTATTATTATTATTATTATTATGATTAATAATAATAATAATAATAATAATAATAATAATAATAATAATAATAATAATATCGCTAATCTTAGCTCCAAGGCACATGTTAAGTACCTCCCTACATCTGACATACCCAAGGTTGACTTCTCCAGGTAAAGACAGAGTAGAGCCTCTCGGGACTCAGTTAAGTCCAGGGACTATATTTGATCTGGGGACTAGATATGAGCTAAAACAGACATCCACGGATGCATGCGTCTGGTTTGTTTATGTTAACTGAACTCGTCACGATTTTGCCCTGGGAGTAACTGGAACATAAAGACTTATCTGATGTGTTTTCAAAGAAACCACTCTAAGAAAATAGTCAACTTTGTCACATTACCAAGATTAAGGTAAATATAGACACAGAACAATGGGACGTATGGGAGTGTAGAGATTAATCAGAGTGATGAAGATGTCGCCTTTGTTTATCTTTCACCTACTCGGGTCTATATAGTCTCTTCGGTGGTTTGCCTGTTCTGCTGGCGCAGCTTTCTACCTACTGGCACGGACACAGGTAAATAACGCTCTCTCTCTCTCTCTCTCTCTCTCTCTCTCTTCTCTCTCAGTTATGTATTTGCAGTTATATGTATTTGGAGTCCAAGATATGTTTAGGTGTGCTGATGGCAGAAATCAATCACCATGTCGCTATCTCTATTAAAAAAGTGATAAGATAAACGTGAAATGTTGCTACCTACATGTATTGAACGACCTCAAGGGCGTGTTGGAGTTTATACACAGGGGATCACAAAAGATCGAATGTGGCTTAAGTGAACCATCTCCTGAAACTGTTAGTTTAAACGTCCCTGGTCCCGCTTGGCGGCGTCTCAATGAATCCATTGAGGAAGCAGATCGTTATTTTAGAGAAAATACAAAATGGTGGAGTGATATGTTTGGACTGCGCATGCTCCAGTGTCCCGAACACGACCCAGAAGTGGCCGAGCACTCGTACGACAGTGGTATTGTATGTAATGGTGACAGTGGCAGGGTTGTAAGGTTGCAATCCCGAGGTAAAAGCGGCACTCACATGCAAGACTTTCCAAGTGAAAACAATGGCTTTACAGCATCAGTGCTTCAACAACACACTCAGCTTTTGGCGAATGGATGTCGTTTTCCGGTTCTAAAACCGCCTCGTGATGTCGATAACCTCAGCAAAACGTTCAGCCAAACTGCTCGAGAAATAAACGCCGACTGCGAAGGAGATTTTGATATGTCAGGAGACGAGATATCTGATATGCAGGAACCCTGGCTTACCAAAGAAATCGAAGACAATTTTTCACTGCAAAGTGGAGAACAAATCTCACTTTGAGTGCCTAGGGGTGGGGGATGGGGTGGGGAACATTGGCATCTTATTTCGCTGTGCAACAAAATAAGACATGAACAGAACTCTTGCTAGAAGGTTCAAAATATTGCTGAAAAAAAAGAGGTGCCTATCTCGAGGGCCCCGTCTACTGTACACCTTTATGTACTGTTTCTATTAATTTCGTAGTGCTTTAGGTGCTGTGTTTCTTTACATCTTAGTATTCTACAAAGTTTTTTTTTACCAAAGAGTTTATGTACATTGTACTATAGATCTGTGTCATGTTTCCAAAATCTTCATGTAGCATTTAGTTGTCCTTGACATATTTTAGTCAGTGGCCCATGAAGTTCTCCATATTCACTACAGAAGGGCCCCAGGGAAGAATCTTCTCGGTGAAACTTATGGATAAAATTATATGTTTTTTACATTGTATTCGTGTGCTAACCAATTTTCTATTTTAAGTTCACCTTGTGTTAAACGTGAGTAAGTTTGAACTGCTATAATTCGCCTATCGCTTTGTTTTTGCAATTTTATTTTGTTATTGGTTTGATTCAGTAAGTTCTTTGACTCTGAGCGAATTAAGAGTCTCTTACGCTTCGTTCACATGCAATGTCTATTTTCTAAATTCTATTTTCTATTCGCGGTATGTTTTATGATCACGGTCTGTGCCCTGAATATCCCGCGGCGTAATTACTGGCAGCGCGAGCCAGTTACTATACTCGCGCTGCCAGTAACTTATAGTAACTGGCTCGCGCTGCCAGTAATTACGCCGCGGGATATTCAGGGCACAGACCGTGATCATAAGACATACCGCGAATAGAAAATAGAATTTAGAAAGTAGACATTGCATGTGAATGAAGCCTTAGACACGTAAGCTAGTTAAAAACTTTAAAAAGTTAAAAATGTCAATAACTCTGCCTTTAACCCTGTTGTGTATTGTGGACTTGCCGCCATAAAAATGTAAAGACAGTGTTATATTTGGTACTGTGAATTCAAATCATTGCTTAGTCCTTTTAGTTAAGTCAAGATACTATATGATAGAAACGCTGGGCTTGAATAGGTAAAAATCATGAAAATGCGTACGGAAATCCCAAAGCACACTAAGTGAGAAAACAGACGTTTTGGCCATTAAACTAGACTGGTAATTGGCACGGAATAGTTGTCCTTAAGATGAACTTCTAAACCAGACACCGTGAGCGTTTGCTTGAGTAGAGATACCCTGTAGCTACATCGTTTTAATTAAAATACTGTTATTTTTTATTAATCAAGAGTACAAAGGCAGTACAAGTCGTAGTTGTGTCAAATTAAGCATGTTGCAATTGTGTAGTTCGTAGTACTGATCATTTGCCGAGGCTCTAATTCATTCATACTAACTAACCGTGACCAAAATTGAAAATACTTCTTATTGAGCACAAGTACTCACATGTATGAATATATTATGTCAGATATGCCTATTTAGACAAAATTATTCTTTAAAAAGTTGAAAAGGTGTTCAGATCTATTCAGATGTCTTTTGCCGCCACAGAGTTTTAGAAAGTAAAGAAAAAAATCTTGCTCTGCTTTTGGTAGAAGCGTCAACAAAAGTCGTTACGTTGTTATGAAAGAATCGTCTCTCCTATATCCGTAAACTGATGTGTGATATTACGCAAATCTAACATAACAACTGATCACGTTTAAACAATATATTATGTTGTGGATAAAAAAGTCTCTCAAATTTTTGTGTTTTTTATTTTTAAGTATTGTCCCGTGTGATTTTGGTTTTAGTTGTTTTCACTGTAAGACCTCTCGCGACGTTTCGGCTATTATTCTTAAAAGCGAATAACATACCGAAATTAAAAGAACAAGCTAGAAATGTATCAACATATATACAAAAATCTTTAAAAATAGCGGCAAAGTTATTAGCTCAGATAAAATTTCCGATTGTGAAATGTGTATGAAGAGTTCAATATACATGTCAAGCCAGTAATTATGCCAAACCATTGCCACTAAACCCATTCAAATGCCGCCATAATGTTTCGAAACATAATTTCTAGAAAATAGATCTTTGCACAGGCACGCGCGGAGTCGGGGAGACCATCAGGAAACAGCGGCATCGCTTCTGAACTGTGGTCAGCCATATGTTGTGGAGAAATCCAGTAATAAATTATAATTCACAACCAATCGGTGGTTTCCATGGCAACGATATCGGATGAGAACCAGGCAGCAACCAAATCCTTTTTGGAGACTAGCCAAACAGGATACAATTAAATATAGTAAATATGGTAGATGTCATTTCGCGGTTTTTTCTAATGACACAATAGTGTATGAAATTGTTTAGGTCCTGTTCAGGGTCACCTTACGGTGTCCTGTCTGTTATATTACAGCAGTTCAGCACGGAGGATTTTCAGTTCAGTTTTTGACTACAAAGGTAGGCGTGTGTGTGTGTGTGTGTGTGTGCAAGACATTCTTAATGTTTAACTAAGGTGACGGTAAATTACCCTTATTTTTCGAGTCCTGTCGGAGACATTCCTCCGTTTTGTCATCTACAGCACGCGTTATACGACAGATGCCATGCCTCAAACCCAGGGTTATGGTACGATAAAATAAAACCTTATAATTTGTACTAGGATCAGCCGCAGAGATGACCGGTATCAGTGTTGTCATGGTGATTGGGGTAGCGACATTTACCCTCCTTCACGGCTGTGACAACACTACTGCAGTCTCTGTTGAAGATGATGTCAAGACATTGAAAGACAAAGTTGCCGCCTTGGAGTTTCAGGTTCGGCAGCTGCTTGGAGGGAATCTAATGCAGGGTGAGTGAAAAACTATAACCAATGGACGTACCTGTAAGACCTTTATGGAGCGAAGGATATCACTTTTCTAAAGATATCCTCTTTACGGATATGTGCCACCCAAAACTGCTGAGAAAAGTATAAGCTCTAAAAGTTCCTTGCAAGTTCTAGATTTTCCAGTCACAATGGCATTTATCAGCCTCTATTTCGAGGGGAACGATGGAGAGATCTGTGAAGAGTGATTGTTTGTATGAATATTTTATATATATATATATATATATATATATATATATATATATTTGTATTAACCTAGCACGTCGTTCATGTTCTGATTGGTTCCGGGATGGGTTCGTGACAAGTGGAAACTATCTGATCGACCCTGACGGTCTCCGTGGCGTCTCGGATTTCTTGGTCTGGTGTGACATGACAGTGGTGCCACCTAATGACAGTGGTGCCACCTATCGCCGTCATCCATCATGACAAGGAAAACAGAACCTTGGTAACCGGGTTTGAAGGCAGAGGCGCATACAGTTGTAAGTCATTTGAATCCTAATTAGAAAGAAAGATGTTTATGTTTCCAACGTTCCAACCAAGTTCAAAGCTTCTTTATTTCTTTATATGGAATAATAATAATAATAATAACATATTATATAGCCGTGTTTTGAAAGTCTGTATGCCATTGCTTTATGTCATATTTATGTTGTCAAGATGACGTGTCATACGCCAGTAGCAGTCAGCGCATCCGGGCACTGATGGCCAGATCTGGACCCTGTCACCAACAGCTGAAGTACGAATGTCGGGGCGCGGTCATTAAAACTTCATTGAACGGCAGCAGAACGCTTTCTTATTGGATAGCTAACGGACAGAAAGTGACGTCATACTGGCCCGGAGGGAATGCGCAGTTGGGTGGATGTGCATGTTACCAGACCAAAAGCTGCGCAGGAGGTACCGTAGATATTTGAACTTTTTTCTTTCACGACAAAAAAGCAGTTTTATATTCACATAAGCATGTTATAAATCAGGGGCGGATCCAAGATTATCTGAAAAGGGGGGGGGGGGGGGCGC